GCCAACCAATACAGTACTCGCTTCCTCAAGACTTCACAAAGCTTCACAAACGTTCTCTAAAATAAAAAAAAAATTGGTTCGTTTTTCAAGCCATAAAATTTACATATATAACAGATACATCAAACTGCCACCAGCCTGCCTTTAGAGTAGGAGTGCTTAATATGATTAAGAGAATGCAGAGATGAAATGCATTGATGATACGCCAGGAGATGCAAATTTGTAGCTGATTGTTAATGCATAGTACGTTTAATATGTAGTTATGCCGTCATCACCGGCAGATACGTATTAACGGGGTTTCACTGTAGTATGGTTACTATATTTAACACAAGAAGGAGCATGTTGTGACCTAATGAATTTCACAGAGTACCCGTAGTCACATGATGTATTCTAAGGAGACATAGCATAGAGTTTCATACATAAACAAGCTGCATTAGAAACAATATGCTTTTAGCAGGTACCATACAGAAGTAAGGTTGCAGTGATCATTGTGGTTTTGTTGGATGTTCCATTGGTTAATACTAATCAGGAGAAAACCACAATGAAGGGAAAGGACATACTTATCAAGACAGGCAAATTATATATACATATTATATATATATATATATATATATATATATATAATCAAAGGGGGAAAAAAAAAGTTACATACATGGAGATGAGCAAGAGATTAAATTCTTCAAATACCAATCAACTTCGAAGTAATAACAATAGCAATGATGAGAGAAGGACTGTCAACCACTGCACTCATGAACCAGCACATCTGCATAAAAGCTATAACCACAGGATGAAAACTAAACATAGAATCTGCATAAAAGCTATAACCACAGGATGAAACTAAATATAGAAGCATGAACACGAGTTGAAAACAATATGTATGATAAAAAAATGCAAATTTGTAGGAGATTGCAGAGTAGTATCGTCCAGCAAAAGTTCCTTTGATAGTTATGGAAACACCGAGGTCTTTGTATAAAAATATCCACTAAATGTCGCATCCAGGTCCCTCAAGTGGAAGACTTGATAAATGCGTAATATGGGCCTGACAATTCTACTGATCGAACAGGATGACAGCAATGAGCACCTGAATGAGTTCACCGAGTGAGGTGCAGTGATGGCACATGTCACACCAATGAAACATTGCCAGGCACCTGAAGGTAGCACTGGAGGGTGCAATATGTATCTATATTGTGACGTCACACCTGCCAACACACACACAACAGCACAGAGTAACAATTTATCGAAAAATATGTGATGTGAAAGAGCCTAGGCATTATTCGTTGCTGTTCAAGATGACATCCAAATGGAAATTGGACAAGAGGCCTTAGTCATATTGTGAGCAAGCACACTGCAGCGGATTGTCATGCATGAAAATATTCAAATAAATCTGATTACTTGCCACAATGTTAGGCCTAAACACCTCATAGACAGTCTGTTGGGTGTCAAACAAGCCTTGTGCAAGCAGAAGTGGTAATGGTGACTCGGGGCAGCAACACTGTGACAGAAGCATAGCAACCACCATCATTTACAGTGGTCCTGAAGGTGGCCTTCTCAACATTTTTCTTTTTTCCAAGGAAGGAGGGAGGAGCAACATTTTGGAGTAATTCTTATGACTCCAATTTTATGCCTGTTATTCATCCTGTGGTTTTGGCTTCCATGAACATGTACTGCTTCTATGTTGCCATATCCTTCTTAGCCTCACGACCTTCTGCTACTCTATCTATTCTTCCCCAATTTTTGTGTTAGAACTGCAACATGCTTACTGCAACCCAGCCTGAAAAATAAAAGAAACATTGGTACCTAGTGCTAGTAGGGATTTCTTCAATTGTGCATTTGCGACAGTCTTTGTCTTCAAGTACCAGTGCAAACGCTGTACTGCTGTGATTCTGTCTTTCGTACTTTCACTACAACGAGAAATGTGAAACGACAAGGCTTCGCGAGAGAGTAAGTCCAAGAGTTAGCTCACAGGCTTTTTTTCCAACTCTGGAAAGCAGTCAGTACTGGTCATAGCACATAAAAAAAGTCGTGCGAAGGTTTGTATTTTTCCTTAAATATTAAAAGCTTCAGCATGCTTCTTTAGTCAAGACAATGGCAAGACAAGTGCAAGACAAGCACTTCTTGCCACAAAGTGTCATGCAAAAGATGTTTCACATAGCCAGCTAATTTCGTAGCAACGAACACATTCAGATTCTAATACAATCAGACAATACAGGCCACAGAGAGCGAAAAAAAGTGAAAGACTGCCACAAGGACAAGGATCTGATGTTTCCAACTAACCTGCTCATGCAACTATAGTATTTTGTCATACTTCTCTAATATTATGGCAAGATTTAGCCACTCGTAATGTAACAGGCTGTTAACCTCGCATCAACAACGTGCATGGTCTACTGGTATGATAAGCACGTTTAAACCTCTGGCATACGATAACTTTCAAGATCTTACACATGCATCAGTGTTTGACCGTAAAATCTTAGCTGAAAATGTTCTCCTGTGCATTAGTGTTTGACCGTAAAATCTTAGCTGAAAATGTTCTCCTGTTTACACGGCACTTTAAAGCGAGATAAAACTTATGTTCAGTCTAACAACTAACTTATCTGTTTATTTGCCTCACAAATAACTTCAGATGGAAACTACAACAACCACATTGATTTCCAGCATTTAATTTATTTACAGCGATAAATTCGTTTTTCTTTCTGTGCTTTTCTGCAAGCGATGTACAAGTGGAGCAGCCTGTTACATCTTGGCTAGCGTCTGCATGTTACCTCAAATAACAAGATGTGCATGAAATCAAGCTGTGCTACATTCTGTTTCATTGCTACACTGCTCTTGAATGTTAATCAGCAAGCATATGTCCAAAAGTGTCTTAATTATTAACTGATGTATGCGCATGGTGCAGGCACAGCACTGGTCCTCTCCCCTTGGAGGGAAAAAAAAAAGGATAATGCACGAGCACATATATTTTTTCTTTATTAACTTTGGTGTTGAGAGTTTTGGCAGCATCTACTCTACTGTAGGGTACATTTTCTATTTGAAGAAAGAACCATATGATAAATGCGATGTAGCTATTTTTTGGGACTTCTGTAGCACCAAAACTACCCAAGTATTTTCACATTCTTACGTCACGATTGCTCTCAGGCACTGAGGTTCAGAAGAAGATTTTAGACAATGTTCAGTCTTCGTTTTCTAAACAGTAATCTAATCAACCTTCTTCAGTGAAATAGGTTCAACAGTAGGGTGCAATATATACATACAGCCAAATATAAATGAATTGCAAAGAGTTTGCTCGGTACATTATTATATAACTAGAAATCCACGTGCAAGGCTTATTTTGCATTAAAGAATGCTGGTGGCTCATTCATTTTCATTATGATGTATGCTTCAAAATCAATTTGAGTTGCTGGCTGCTGAGCTCAACTCAAGTTAACACAAATGAAGCACTAAGTATTGAAAGGCAAGTCCCCCTTTTTTTTTCCTTGATTTTCACCGAGTATAGTATGCTGTTAAGCATTTATGCTGGCTTGATCCACGAGGCTCTCTCAAAGGCACTGTTAGAACCATTTGCAATTTAATTCTTGAGAGCTAGCATAAGAATGAAGCAGAAAAAACTAATGATAGTCCAAAATAATACAAGCATTTGATAGCCCAGCCAACATATTTAACCAAAACTAAGAGAAAAAAAAAGCGATGACTAAGATTGCCACTGACACAGAGCAAGGCATGTATGCAAAAAGGCAAAACCTGCGTGCACAGCACCCTTAAAACACGGCCACTCCCACCTAGTTGAACACAATAACTAAAACACTGTGTTCGGCTGCCTGGCAGACACCTTTGAACTGTACATTGGCACATGTTTCTGCTGCCCCAGTGAACAGACATCCTTGTCTAAATGTAAGTTAGCATTGGCATCCTTTTTATCTTATTAATATGCTAGCACAAAAAAAAGAACCAAGGTGACTGACAATTCAATTTCCTGTCTAATACTTGTATTTGCTGTTCTACTGTACTCCTATTAATCAACTAACCCATTTGTCAGTTATGTTGCAATCATCCTCTGTGCCCCCCACCCCCCAAACAATAAGAAACCTAGACACTGTGCCTGCAAAGGCAATAACCAACAACATCGACACTTTACATTTCTAAATGTTGCTCCTTTCGTGCTTAGTGCATGTGTCATTCGCAGGACCAGCAGAAGGCATGCCCCTGTCAATGTGCAAGTTACTGCAAGGTGTTCACCACGCAAATGGCTCGCGTGCAGTTGCATCCAAAACCAAAGAGGGCGACAGAGGGAATGCAGTAGCAGCACACAATTTTGAGAAAACACAGTACACATTGTACGACTGGAAACTGGCCTAGCTCTTTTCAATGGAAGTCAGGCATATATGACTAGTCAGAACAGACTTTCTCATGAATGATACACCTCTCTCAATAAGTGATTTAAGAGCTGCTGACAGAACATTAAAGCTAAGCAAGATGTATGCGCATATTTCTAGGGAGAAGCCCTGGTTTAAATCACTTAAGTGGACCTGTTGCTAATTGTTTTGAGGTTGCCACAAAGCCCGCCTAACGGTTTCCTAATCGCAGCTGATAGCTTTAAGCGTGAGGCTACAGCAGCATCACGTTTCTTGTTTAGTACAACAGCTGCTAGATTTTTAAAAAAAGCGACACGTGAAGCCGATGAAACACTGCTCCCTTCGAGGCCCGGCCGGAAGGACAGTGTGCTGGGGAGGAGTCGAGCAGAATGCACCCAAGTGAGAGCAGCCAATGCAGCACACAGACACAATGCAAGTGGTGCCATGGGTTAATCACACACAACCCCAAGCCTGTGCGTGGGTGCATGGGCTGCGGCCGTGCAAGCAGCCCTTGGCACATGGGCCCATGCACGTTTGAACTGCTGTCCCTTGTCGCCCTCTTTGGTCCTCGCAAACATGTCACAAAACCTCCACATATCTCTCTGGAGGAGAGGCCAAGAAAAGACACGCATGCAGAAGCTCTAAGGGGGAGAGTACCAGGACAACTTCATCTGCAGACTCTCGGGGACGCTTCTTGCTCGCGGAAGGATCTCCCAGGCCCGGCTAAATTAGTATGCAGAGGCAGATGGTTTTGTTTTTGGATGGCGGGTAGGCACAGCGCATGGCAGCAAGCAGCAATGCGTTGAAAAGGAACCAAAAATGAGGAAGGAAAGAGTAAAAAAAAAGAAACAAAGAGAGCAATCATTAAAAGGTCGGCCAAAACAGCATTCTTGTTTGTACACGCACCCGCCCGCCGGCAGAGCACCCCTCCCCCGCTGGCCGAGGTGGCACCCATGCCAGCCCAGGGACACGGCATGCAAGTACCGCATTTATGCACATCCAATGCTGCCATGTGTGCCATTCAAAATGCACAGAAGCTGGCACCACATATGCATAAATAGGGTACAACATCAAAGAACGGCATCACTCCTAAATATGGTAAGCCCGTACCACTGTACAAGCTAGACATTGCGATCTTAGGTAACACTGGCCATTAGGACGGAACAAGGAGGAAAAAGAAGCAAGCATGAGCCTAACCAAAGTGGGCAATCAAAGCAAAACAGAACCTTCCATTTTAAGACATTGACAAAGTTAACAGCCCAAGATGCTCGAGGTTAGAGAACACTTGCTGGGTGTGCTACACTAGTAGCCATCTAGTATCATGCTGTGCTGCTGTGTCAGCTCAGTTGGACCAAAACACTCAGTTGTTATCATAAAACTACCTTTTTCTAACTGCAGTGTGCAGTAATAAGTTAGTTCGACAAAAAAATCTGGAGGTCATGAACCTCTTTCTCAAAATAATGACATGCCAATGCTGTGCACATAATCACTTTTTTGCAACTAAATAATGCCCTACCAAGCTGTTCCAAAACTTGCCTGTGCACACACTTTTGCCAAACATGCAGGCCTAAATTGCTGCCCATTAAGAATAGCATGACAGAAAATGTCAGCAGTACAGAGTGGTGCAGCTAGTATGAAGAATGATAATGCAACTCTTCACAAATAGCAGAAGTGTACCTTTTCCTTGATGCAAATAAGGCACACAGCAGATTAAGTTTTTTGTTAACTTCGGAGCCATATTTACCGAGAAGCCTGTCTTATGCACTCCCACAGAATCTCTGCCCCAAGCCAAGTGTGCATCCCTAACAATGTTTCACTGCAGTGCTGTAGTCATAAAAAGGGAATCCAGGGGAAGGCTTCAGGGCTATCCGAGGCTGGTTGGGATTTTAGAACAGCGATTGACAAAACCATGCCAGTGAAAGAAAGCTTTGTCTGCACAAAACATTCAGTGGGTCACAGCACTCATGTGACAGCAGCCAAGGTGCAAAATAAGAGGTGCAAATGCAACAACAACATAAACAATAACAATAATGAAGCTGCCAATCAAAGGGCATAACATGGCCCATTGCAGAAAGCATGCAGCTTGATGCTCCACCAGGCTGGCTTGTATATCTGTCATTCTGTGTGGCAAGTAACTGAAAACTAACCACGAAGCTACTACCATTAAATTTATTATACATTAAATTTATTAAGTCCCACAGGCCACCAACTCATCCTTCCAACAAAGCTTTCCATAATATGCAGCACAGTGCCAGTTAGAATGTTTATTGCCCGAAAAAACAGTAACATTACGTGGTCTCAATATATGTCCAAACTGTGAAGATCAGTCATAGTTGTAAGTTCTGGTAATTCAGTCAGGGCCAGGCAGAAGCCCGTGATGTTGGATAATATTCTTTATGCAAATGTGGCATACTAGATTTCGTTGCACAGTGTGATGAGTGTTTACAACACTCAGCCCACTTGTCGCACAATGTAAAAGAAATCCAAAGTGTTCCTCCTTGCTCCGTCCTCTTCCACAAGGCAAAGTGGCAATCTCAAACGCTCTGAAACTACACTTCTCAGCATTCTTGTTATGGCAAAAAATATATGGCCTTTCAAGAATAACCACAAACAAATTCATGAAACCAGGTGCAGCACAAAACATTTACCACGACTGAAAGGCAACCAATCACAAGTACCTCTATTTGTAAGAAATGTGACAGCTTCTAATGCAATAGCCTTCAAATGACCCACAAATCAAGTCCCATAAAAAGCACAACTGTACCACTGATATTACTGTTTTATCTATCAACATTCCGGGTAATCTTCCCTGTAAGCTACAATATTAGCCTTGTGCCTCCAGCAAGCATTGCAACATCTCCTTTGTTCTTCCATGCACTATAAGCTAACAAAAATGTAAGGCAGCAAGTTTTCGAGCATAAGCACAAGTAAAAGCAAGGGAGGTTCTGTGCATGCAGTGAAGCTACTGTTACACGATAAAAAAATTAATTGCACATAATGTGCTTGTGTTTTTCCTCTTGAAGGTAAAAATAATAAGAGCTTGTAGGAACTGCCTAAATTTTCTATTTCTGTGCAGAACCAAGCTAAGCAGTGGTTGCTTGTACTCTTGTGAGAAGTGCTGCATACACACACAAACACACACACACTCACAGACAAGCACACACACGCACACACACACACGCTTTTGCTTACTGAACTCCTGCTGGTATCTTAGATCTACATATTGCCTGCCCTACAGGGGCATTACATTACTGCCATCTTGCACAACAGGTTTTTAATAAAAATAATAATGCGAATGTAAAACGTGAAAAAAGAACTTCCATTGCCCTTTGCATGTGCTGTGAAAATGTGCTACACGTTTTTTATGCTACAACTTGACCTCGAATGGCCATGTGTATTTTTTTGAAGTGAACAGAGAGAGAAAGGCAGCAGTAGGCTGCCACACAATTGACATGCCATCATCAGACAGGGTTGAAAAAAAAGGAGGGCTCAAATACCTGAGTGTACATTTGTAATCCGACATCGGTGCTTCCTCCCTCTGTCGCCTGGTGTGACAAACAGGGTTGGTTTGCTTAGTGCCACTGGGCCCGCCAAGCACATAGCACAGCACTGCCAGGAGGGCAAGGCCCCAAGGCAGCCCCGTACCGCTGTGCCCGACTCTGCGGCGCGTGCACACTTTCTAACAGTACACATGCACGCATGGTCACCACCACAACAAAGCAGCCAAACACAAATTGCAGCTTCTGGTCGACATTCCCAGCCCATCCAGCATAAGAAGAAACATCAGGAGCGCTTCACATGGGCTGAACACTTGTTTGCCTGCTAAGATTGACAAGCTACCAAAACTGCTCGAGCCAAACAAGCTATCGTGAACTAAGGAATGAAAGATGCCTCTCACAGTGCATAGCCTTGATGACCTAACCCCTACAGTACCCACATAAATTATACCCTCTTTCATAAAACTGAAGGTTGCCCCCAATCAGTTATCTTTACATCAAACTAAGACACACATAAGGTCTGGGCACCTACTAATTTGTGAATACTCATAACAGGCCACAAAAGTGAAGTTTAAACATTACATAAAATTTAACAAAAGAGTATCCCACTTTGATCGAGATGCAGGAGTCTCATCCAGCATAGCAACTAATGAACATCTAGGGGCAAGTAGCAAATGTCACTTGTTGAATTTAAAAATTTCCGAAATCATCAGTGAAAACTGCTTAAAAAAGTGATAGGTGAAATGAAACCTACATATCAGTTTAGAGGGATGGTTTCCCTGCAGTGATACTGAAAATTTCGGAGGCACAGCACATCTTGTGGTACGGATTACAAGACTTTAAAATTATTTCAACTTGAAGAGAGCAAAACTGGCTTCCAAATGCATCTCTACACTTTAAAGCCATACTTCACATAGTTCTTGTTTCTGAGAAATAATCAAAGGACATAATATATGTTTATAATATAATATATATTTCTGCCTTTTTCTCCTGTTTTTTATTATAACTTTATTGTTAGGCTTCATTTAATCTCGCTCAGTTGCTTTGTTGCAAAATGTGACAAGTATGTAAAAGCAGTAGAGTCTTGTAACACTTAATTCAGCCTATTTGTTCAAACTTTTTATTTGTGTGTGTGCCTTGATGACAGCTGTTGCTTGACATGTCAGTCAGCATCACTTCGTCATAAAATATCTTGGGCCTGGTATGAACCTGTGCGGTAATGCATAGAGTGCGCAAGGAGGCTCGCCAATAAGCCACGCAAGCAAGCTCCACTGCCTAAGGGCCAATGCAAAGGCAGCGTTTGCCGTGCAATGTGCAAAGACCACAAGCGTCCTGGCACAATGGTCTTGACAGCAAGCTGGCCAGCAGGCCAAACAAAGCAAGGTGCTGCCCCCATCCCTTGCCCAATAGAGAGACAGGAAAATGTCAATGCAGTTGCTGCAGATGGGCCTCAACACAGGAATGACAAGTTCTTGTTTCCACAAAGAATTTGGAGTCCTTAACTATACCTTTTTGCTTACTCATGGTGGCCAGTGGCAAACAAACACACTTTCCGAGTGCAAGCTCACTAAAAGCATGATGTTTCAAAGAAGGTAAAGGATCCGAGTGATGCAAATATAGCCTCCATACTACAGCATGAATTCCTTAGCATGAGATTCCTTTCATTTTATAGCTCCTTCTTCATGTAAAAGCAAGTAGAAAGAAAACGAAATTCTTAAATATTTCACTGTGAGTCACTGAGGAGGCTCCTCCATACTACAGTAGAAGCTATCATCACTGGTCCCCTGCTAACAATCTCGACGATGTCATTCCTGCGACCCTTTGGAAGCTGGGAGGAAGGGTGTGGTGCCAGAGACAGAGACAGCCTGCAGTGCCTACCATAGCAGCGGCAGCAGCAGCGGCGGCAGCGCCAGCCCGGCTCTGCGTGGCCTTGAGCTGCGCCTGCAGGTGCGGGGGAGGGTGGAAGTAGCGGCACTGGTCCCGAGAGCAGCGGCCCTTGACGAAGTCCATGCACACGGTGACTGCCCCGTCCCCGCTGTCCACCGCCACGTGCTCAGGCGGGTGCCCAAAGCGGCACTCAGTCTCGGGCCGCTTGCACGTGCCACGCTGGAACTCCCGGCACACCTGCCCCATGGTTGCCGCGAGAGGAGGAGGAGAAAGCTCATTGGGGGCCACCAATGCATGAGGATGTGTTGCTGCTGCTGCTGCTGCAAGGCGCAGATTTCTTCGGGGTGCATTTTTTCCAGCCTGAGCTATGCTATAGTTGAGGCTGACAAGCTAACTGGGACTTCTGCACTCCTTCAGCTGCATGTATGCCAATTATTACAAATGGCTGCTCTGGCCTGTAAACCTAGCTAATGGGGAGAAATGCAAGTGTGGCTCTATACATGGGCCAGAGAGCAGCAACCTGTGAGACACAAGGTTGAGTTTACATGTTCACAATCTGTAGGCAGGCAATCAGGACAGCAGTCCTATCAACACAGTGGTTTGCCTACCCCTTTACAATTCATTTTAATGCAACAGTTATTCTCATTTAACAGCATAACTGTTGAAGCAAACTGGCTCATTTGTAGCACGAGCTGCTGGTTGTTTGCATGTATCACCATCTATCAGCGCACCTGTTCTGGCAGCTCATCAGAGCTAAAAGTTGTAAAAGCAACAGGATGTGATGCTTGAGCTGAGAGTTAAAAGCGATGGCCTTATTCCTCAGCCACTTTGTTCCCCAAGGACAGTGCTGAAGCACACAAAGGAGCACTTAGCATAAGAGCTCGCTACATCTTCACTCCACAGAAGCAAAAGCAGCGGCAGCAGCAGCGTGCAAAAAAGCCATGCACAATTGACCTTTTTAAATTCAGATGACCACAGTGAACACCAGCAGGTGCATGTAGCAGACACAAGTGCACAGTAGCTGACCATTTGAACTCAGCTATTAACAGCATTTTTTTAGTGTCAAAGTATGAACTTGAAGTAAAGGACACTGATTGAGAACAACACAAGCAAACATAACTGATTATTTGCTGTAGCAGAGAATAGTGTCTGGAAGCTATAAGTTGTCCTCGATTATTATAAAAAGAACTGCAAAGAAACAGTGGCACAACAACTGTACTTGAACTATAAGAATACTTGAGCGATCACATGGCAAACTTTGCATGCTCCTATGCAAAAGATGGCATTTTTCATTAAAGAAGTATGTGTGACTTTCATTTAACATTCAACAATGATTTGTCTTTCTACAGACCCCTGTAAAAAATTTTTATCTTGCAATGTATGAATCCAAGCTCAAATGTGATCTTGAATGTATGCTATAATTTTATTGTGCAATGCTAGCACAACTTGGACTGTAACATGCTCAGCCTGCGTAGCTGCTTCAATTTTACAATTGTCCCACAGTTTCTTTGTCACCTGATTTCAGCAAAACTTCAGGCAAGTGCCTGTTAACACTGCTATAACAGTTTTTCTTAAGATTACACTTAATGTCAGCAACATATACACATTTTGTTCATGTTATGGCGGCAGAGGACACCCACGTTGATCACTCAGTGTGGAATGAAGTAGAGCCACAATTGAGAATTGAACAGGACACCCATCACAGCTCACCTCAAGTCTGTCAGTGCGCGCCACTTTCTGTGGGGACACTAGGGAAGCTGGCACAACGCTTAGAGGGGCCGTCACAGCATCCGCAGTCATCATGCCAGGCAAAACAGGACTAGGTGTCAAGTAATGTCCAAATGAAGATGCTGTTGCCATTGTTGTCAATGCAGGCATATATGGACTGGCAGCCTAAAATGAGGGGGGGAAAAAAATAGCAAAATAGTATGCAGTCACGAACAGGCACTGCCTTCTTTTTAAATGTTACGGTGTAAACACTACGAGTGCATCTTTTATGCATTGCATCTACACAATGCCTACTGCATCAACTGCGATAGTCATCTTGAAAAAATCATGCTATTGTCACGGGGTCGTGATGTGGAAGAAGGGAGCAGTTGCAGGTCGAATAATAAACTGTTTATTTGAGCGGCCAGGTAAAAGGAAAATCAGATTACAGCAAGACACAGGCACTGATAGCGGCTTTACACCCTTATACCCTTGGATTTATACCCTTGCCGTCGAATATTGTAGTGTTATCGCTTGCGGCAAAGTAGGTTCTGGAATAATCTGTGATAAATAATCTTAACAAAACGATCTACTAAAGCAAGCTTTTGGAACATCGTAGGCGCAGTTTGTGCTCATAGTGTAACGCGGTGATAACAAAACTTGAAGAAAGGAACGTGACAATATTTGTGCAGCAAAACTACAAGCGAATAACACTTGAATTTATTAAAAGAACAGACCATAATTTAACAATCACCTTTTCTGTTTGCTATAGCCAGTGCAATGACTTGAACGGAAGCACGTAAGGTTGCAAAGGAAGCAACAACACCAGCCCATACTGCCACACAAAGGGTCCAGAATTAGGGGTGCAATTATTCGAAATTTCGAATATTCGACTCAAACGGTTCAGTATTTTATTCAACTGGCGAAGTATTTTTACTACTCGATATATTTGAACACCACGAAAATTCATAAGTAATAAAATGAGCATAAGAAGATTAAATAGTTGGGGCTAAAATTTTCTCATATTTGATGTACAAATAAACAAATTAGTTTCAGCTGTACGTTCCCCTCCTATTGTACTTTTGCAAATGATGTGCCAGTATAAAGGTGTATTGGACATAGTATAACGTGTTACGAGACCGAGACACAAAGCATCGATATTATACTGAGCAAAACAACCAAAACAATTAGGTAGTTCTCACAAAATTAACAAGAAATGCCTGAAAATAATATAAACCAGAAGTATTCTGGGCTAACCTACGATGAAGCATATGCTATGAACATCGTGCTGGAGATATGTCATTTTACCTGCCTCCCTAATGAGATAGCAGGCTCGGAAATTAAAATACTGTGACAAGCTAAAACACATGAACACTAATCTGGGTAGTGAGCAGCTGTTTTCACTCAAAAGGAACACGAATGGTGACATGCACAACGGTGTCACAGTTTCCCAAAGATACCAAGAAGTTATCCACCCTTCAGGACTGACTTTTAAATAGCTGTGTAAGTAGCACTGTCAAGTACTAATGCTGACAATGCATAAATTTCCTGTACAATATTTTATGTACAACAAACTTTTTTGTTATTGCCTGGTGTGTGTGTGAGAAAAGGGGGGAGAGGGGAGCTGCAGAAGTGAATAGTTGTATATTCGTATTAGAAAATATACAACAAATATTCTATTCAATCCACACTAATTTGCCTCGAAGTTGAAATTTTGATACTTGCACACACTTCTATCCAGAATGTCACTGAAAAAAAAAACACTCTTGGAACATTATTTAATTATCAATATAATAAATCAGCAGCTATGTGCAGTGTCAAACAATAGGGCGTTGAAGATTGTTGAACCATCGAAACTATGCAGATCCACGGACCAACATGTGTTTTATGAATCTCCTCATCCCATCAACAGATAGCAATTATTAATAACTTGTTATTGGACAAGTTGGTGAGTACATAATATCCTGATTTTCGCCCTAAGAAAGGCAAACACACACAAAAAAATGGGACAGGCACTAGTGCCCGTTTCGTTTTTTTTTTTTTTTCATGTGTTCGTCTTTCTTAGTGCAAAAATCGAGGTGTTATCACATAGAACATTTACTAAGGAAGAAATTACTAGCCTAGCTACACAGCACAACAAGCAAAAGTGGTTGTTTCCACACCAACCAAGTTATTACCACTTTATTTATATATCTATAGATAAGAAAACTTCTTGTTAAGACATTAATTCGACAACACAAATATTTAGCCTAACAAGTAATGGAGGCAAATCATCACTCAAACCAATATTTTAGAACACCAGTAAAATAAGCTTAGTTCATGAACTGCTAATGTTTGCCACATATGAGGCAAAAATAAACACTAATGCACATAGCTATTTCATCTGACCTGACTGTGTTCAGTCAGACTAGTTCACCGCTCCAAGTCTAAAATCCTCAGTTTTTTTTTCTTCAGAAGCATCCATATACAAATTGGTTATTTGCTCCAGTGATATCAACAAGTTGGCATATCTCTTACTGCAGTGAAACAAATGTGGCAAGTTATTGAAACCACAGAATGATAGCCCAACCTTCTAAAGCTATGTAAACTGCCTTGTTACTTTTAAGATGTTTACAGCTCCATGTCATGTGCAATCACATAATATCTAATCTAACGTTAGTGCACATCCAGTCTGTTACATCACTGTTGAATTTTATGCTAACTCCCTTTGCAATATGAGTAAGAATTTTGCTCATGAACTGCATTTTTACATAAAGCCCAAGAGCAAGAAGAACTATCGCTTACATGCAAGACAGCACGACAGCACATTTTCATCTCTGGAATGTCAGGCATACAAATTTCTCAGTTTTGTAGTGTTCGTACATCCCTTACTTTTTGCTTTAATGTTTTTAGAATTTTAGCATGCAAACTCGTAATGAAGCCATATAATGCCCAAGACTGGCGCTTTTCTGTGTGACATCTTGCCCTTCTATTCCTCTCTTCCTTTACTCTCCTTTCAATTTCCCCCTTCCTTTTTTTCCTGTGCAAGGTAGCATACCAACTATGCTACAGTGGTTAACATCACTTCCTTTTCTCTCTCTCCAGTTTTCCATGGCAAGCCATTTTCATAGACTTTTCCGTCTTTTCTGGTGTGATAAATATACCCTAAGAACTTCAGTATTAAAAAAGCCTATACATTTGCAATAGGAAGGAAGATATACAAGCTAAATTAACAGATCAGATATTTTCTCTGCTGACAGCAATTTGTCTACCTTTTTTTCTTGCTGGCTATGCGCTGTCATACACTGAGCCCCATTTGTTGAGTGCACCAACTTCAAGCCGTTTTAAAAGAACCTGTCCAGAAGTTACTGCACTTATTAAGCACACATATAACCACTATATTCGAAGCATTAAGAGTAAAATACAACATGCAAGAATTGAAACAATGACACTCGTGCAGGCAGATGCAGCAGACTCACACTGGCAACAGAGCCAGCAATGATATATAGCATTATTGTGGTAGAGCTACACTCAATGGCTGCTGTAAAAAGATAAATGCCCTAGGGCGATAAGGTGTCCATCTGTCACAACAGGCTATTCGAGTCACGGTCCTATTTAACATTGAAGCAATGAACGCTTTTGCCACCCTGGAAGAGAAACATACCGCAGACTAAAATATGAAAAACTGCAGATTCAGCCCAAGGAGAGCAGCTATGTTTCAGCATCGCCTGGACAGAGAATCTTGTTTAGGCACACTGATCCATGAGAAATGTCCCTACCTTTGTTCTCGCCGGCAACCAAATGGGTGCAGTGCAGATCCCCAATGAGCAAGACTGCTTAAGGCCAGCACACATTTGACAAGCAAGCATGGCTCGAGCATTGTGAAGGCATATGTTTGACTCTGACCATGCAAGCATATGTTACACAGAACATTAGTGGAAAACTGCAAGCATTTTATGCTCACTAAGCAAAAATCGTGCTTTCCAACGAAATCAAACTTACAAAAACACAACAAACTGCAGGTCAGGTCAGGTGGAGAAAAGGGAGAAACAAAGGGGTCCCTCATGCATTTTTTTTATCAACTATTTCCTCTGAATGCTGCCAGAATGCTTAACTGTCCAAAAGCAGCATGAATAGCAAATGTGCAATCATAGCAAGAACTGTCATCACATAAATATGTGTGAAAGTTTTTGCAAAGCAGAGTTCAATTCTTCAGCAATTGATGATAACACAAAGAACTGTTTCAAAGCTCATACAAATAGCCCAATATCAAGCCATATTATTACATTATAGTGCAGAAAATAGACTTTAGCAGGTCCTGAAGATAATGAAAAAAAAAAAAAGAAAATGTCATGACTTACCTTCCTTAACTATCTGGTAACACAGCTGCTTTTTTTTTTATGCGAAAAGCTTTTTTATACTATTACACTTTGAAGCAGCAATCACAGAAAGAATTCACAGGACTGTTAGTACTATCAAGTTTTCAATGGTTGGGCATCTCTTCGAATCTGTCATAACTATTGCATAAACTCTGATGATGCAACAGTGACAAAAATACATGCTGAATACGCCTGTGCCGACTGCCCCATGTTTTTGCCGAAAATGGTCTCTCCACACATTGAACTGTCCGTTTCGAAGTTTATCGTTGCTGTTTTCAGAGTATTTCCCAGTGCCGATATTATTATCACTACATGTATCTAACAGAGCATCGTGAAGCCACTCTGGGTCAACGCACCTGCAACTTTTTAGTCTGTCCACCCAGATTTCAAATAAAATGCACAAGCATTTTTATTCACAATGCTGTATGAAGAAAAATCATAACCCAACTACTCCGTACAGATGGGTAACTAGCATAAGTGAAATGTGCTGCCCTGTTTTTTATCACTGGATTAACCGCGATGGTTCTCTAGGTTCTTTCTCGATTACTTGTCGGTCTAGAAATATTATTTGGCATTTGCTGCCCGTGCGTTTTCTTCTCCATTATCAGTAAACCATAGGCGAGTAATACGATTTGCGCAATTTCTGTGACGCGTACGCACTAGGAGTTTTTGCACACATAGGATCGACAAATTTTGATTTCGCCTAGCCAGTGTGAAAGAAAAACAAAAACTGTGCTTGAAAAGTGGATCTTAATAACAGCGATTCAAGACAAGTACCGGCTCAATATTGCAAGTTTGATCTTGTATGACCACGCACACAAATACACA